GACCACAGAATAGACGTTGGTAAATGGTGAATGCGAAAGAAGTCAACAACAGAAATGATATACTCCTTGAGGCAAATAAGCCACACTCTGCAGAGGTTTCTCTCTACAAAGGGAAAGAGGAGGGGAAAAGCAATGAAGCTTACTTGGTGCGGGTACTGTGTTAGGATCTGTGTGTGCAAAGAGTATGATTACAACATCATCCCTGTCTTTGAGGAGTTCACAAACTAGTAGGGAAAAAAGCTTTGAGTATCTCTTAGATTCCAGGCACATAACACATGTCATTTCATTTTATCTTCACAGGGAAAGATAAGTAAAAACTGGCTAAGAGCGGCCTTCATTTGGCCTAGAAAAAGGAGAGTTTTATCTTGGGTATTCAGGTGTGCCCAGGATAGAAGATGCCCAGACCATGTAAGAAATATAAGCTGTCCAGTGTTCTATTACTTTGGATAGATGAGCTTCAGATTCCAGACCTGTAAGCCTGGGTGAATAGACCTTGACTCTTTAAGAGCCTTCCGAGATACACTAACCAATGAGGCCCAGACTAATACAGTGTATCTGATCTCGTAAGACATGTAGATAGATATAGACTTGCTACAAGTCAGGTCATGGGAACAGTTGACACTTGAGAACTGCAGAAGAATAAAATTACAGTTGTTAGATAGGTGACTGAAGCCCAACCAATCCAGTGCAGTGACCTCAGAAATAGTTTTGGGAAGTAGAAGAGGATAATGGTGAAAAATATAGGCTTTGAAGTCACCAGCCTATGTTCAAATCCTGGGCCTGACACTGACCAGTTGTCTTACCTTGGGCAGGCTACCTCTCAATTTTGGTTTCCCCATTGGTAAAATGATACTATAGGTTTCATAGGGTTATTTAAACAAACAAACAAACAAACAAACAGACAAACAAACATTATATATGCAAAGTGTTTAGCAGGAATGCCTGAAATGTAATATGCAGTTAATAAACATTAGCTGTTATTGCAAGAATAAAACCTCAGAAGCAGGCAGTTTTAGGTAGAATTTAGGGAGCACCCTCTGAGTCATGATGAGCTAAAATTAGGACAAGTTAAAGGAATTGTACACAGCAGACAGAAAGATAAAGAACTTACACTCTCGAGTAGGTTGTGCAAGTTTAGAATATAAATGGAGTTAAGCATCCCTAAAGCCCTAGAGCCTAGTCCCTATGTCCCTAGAGCCCCATTCTTTCCTCTTCTATCACAGCTCTTAATAAGTGAATTCTAATGGTCTGTTGCTTGTCTGTCTTCTTTGCTAGACTATGAGCTACTGGAGTGCACGCATGCCCTTTCCTTCTGTCTAACCTAGGTACCTATTACAGTGTCTGTTATACAGTAGATGCACATAAATGTTGCTTCAAAGAATAAACATATTTAAAACAGGCTTAAATCCACACACCTAACAAGCCTGTCTCTGGCTTCTCAAGTACAGAAGGGCACTGGAAAAATTAGCCTCATAGATAAAGTCAAAGATTATCAAAGGGAGGTGCTCTTTTTAAATTAATTTTTTTCTCGTTTTTATAAAGGAAGTGAATTTTAGTGTCAAGAGAATGTGTAAACTCACCACAAGTGACAATATTATAACACTGTCACAGGCAAATTCGCACCTATAGATGAGCTAGTTGAAGAACAAAGTTGGTTTTGGAAGGCTAGAGAAAAAGATTCTGAAATGTCATATCCACTCTATATAACTGACTATCCTTGGCATCATCCTTTTAATCTACCTGGGTTTGAGAATAGCCTAGGGCATTTGAAATGAAGGCAATTAGCACCTCAGACAGGGCATCCACATGCAAAATTCTGTCACCTCTCAGAGGTCTCAGGAGGTGACAAGTTTAGATAAGAAGACACTTTCAACCTTGGCTGACAGTTTGTCAATGCTTTTTATATTTGATTTAAATGGCATCTATATTCTGAACAGTGTAGTTTGCTTTCAACTCGTGAATCTTTCTTCCCCCACATCATGATTTTTATTTTTCAGGCCATTTAAAAACAAGAACAAAAAAGTCTTTCCTCTATGGGGCGAGAATGGAGGAAACAATTCTTGCTTCTTGCACACAAATGAGTTCAGTCCATTTCCCCTCTATTTCTCCGTAAAGTATGCTTGGCTTTCCTTTAAAGCTCAGACTGCTAAAGCTGGCAGTAGCCCTACGGGTCACCTGGTTCAAGTCCATTTGGCAGAGGGAAAAAATGAGGCTCAGAGAGAGGAAGTGATTTAGAGGCATAGAGTATAATTTGCCTCTCCCACTTGCTGGACTAGTCCTCCTTCCAATAAATACATCTACCCATTTCAAAGGTGGACCAGAGGTATGTAGAACCAAATGTGTTTGTTTATTCATTCACTCGCTCAACAAATATATTTAGCATCTAATATGTGGCAGACACTGAGGATACAGTAGTGACCAGGGTACACAAAATCCTGCCTTCATTGATCCTATATTCTCGTGGGGAGACAGACAAAAACCAATCAGATCATTCTGCTTATAAGTGGGTTATACTTGTACTTGGGGCCCATTCTTCTTAACTCTCTACTGATGCCTTCATTGCTCCCCTCTTTCATTTTTCCCCTTTCCTCTCTTGTGAGTATGGTGAGAGAGAAGGAAGGGAACCCTTTCAATCCCTCTTTCTCTACACTTTAAGCTCGGTGTGAAGTTTTGAATTTGTTCAAGTCAGTTTTAGTACCAGTGTTGCACTAGAGTGAAGATGTCAGTATTTTTCATCAACACTGCAGTAGTGGGCTGGCTCAGCTGTCAGCTTGCTTGTGAGATGACAATGAGGTACTGGATGTGAGAGTTGTACTATTACCTTATAATTTCTCTGTTCTTTTTTTACATGATTTTCGTTGTGCTGAACCCTGTCACACCTGGCTGCTTTGACAGGTGTGCTATTTCAGCTACACAGAACAAAACAGAGAAGGAAAAGAAGAATGCATTGTACGTTTTTGCTGTCAGATCCAAGTTGCTTTGTTCCTAAGTTTGTGCATGATTTGTTCAGGGTTGTTCAGAGACAGCAGAGGTGAGGTTTCATTTTTAACCAATGTGATACTGAACATTCTCACAGTTTACCTCACAGGTGGGCTGCTGTCCACACGCTCTGGATGAAGGGATCTTCTTCCCTGTCTTCTCCTTTCATGTTTGAAATTCCACCATTGTGATTAATTTCTCTGGGCTCATCATTTGCCTGCTCAAAATATAAAGAGTTCAGGGAGGATTAATCTCTCAAGTCCTTAACACTGGTTTATACATTCACTTACCAGATCAATTTCTTCCTCGAACCAGAGCATGCAAAAGGGTGACAGGTGAAGCTGGCCTTAGACAAATGAGGTAGGAAGATAAAGGGACAGTCTTGGGTCAGTTGCCCAGACCCATTCCCAAATATCATCTCAAATGTGGTTTTGTTTCTTTTTATTCTTGGCATTGCAAATGACTGTAGGGAGAGTATATTTATACTTTATCTATTAAGGTTGACATATTCTAAGGCTGAGCATGCTTTTATCAAGAAGGAGAGTTACTATTAGCTGTCACCGAAATCTTGGAGAATTGTTCTCAATCTTAGTAGCTGGAGAGCAAATATCTGGCCTTGGTACAAGGCAGCTCTGTGCATCTGATCCATTTATAAGACAGGTGGGGATTTAAAAATTGTTCTTGATGTTGAGCTCCCAACCTTGCTGTGTTCTCAAGGAACTCGGTGCTGAAACTGTGGGAGACACACAACAGACAACATAACTGCAGATATTTAAATTCCAACCTTAAAAGTGTTTTATATAAGGCCTGGCTGGCATAGCTCAGTAGATTGAGCGCAGGCCTGCGAACCACACGATCGCGGTTCGATTCCCAGTCAGGGCACATGCATGGGTTGCAGGCCAGTTCCCGGCAGGGGACTCATGAGAGGCAGCCACACATTGATGTTTCTGTTTCTCTTCTCTCCTTCCCTTCCTCTCTAAAGATAAATAAATAAAATCTTTAAAAAAAGTGTTTTATATAATCAAAAGGAAAAATGTAGAGGACCGTTTGGCTTCAAGCATTAAACAGTGTTATTCTAGCAAAAAAAGGAAGAAGTTTTGGGAAAATGTTACTTAACAGTACATTTTCAGACAGAAGTCTTTATTTCAGAGAAGAAAATGAAGGTTGAAACGTTTTTAAAAAATTAATAATATGTAACTTAATATCAACTAAAGAAAAACATATTCTCTATTAACTTAGATGATAAAAGTTACAACACAATTATCAATACTTGCAATGTGATTTAAAAGAGGTTTTATGTCTCAAATACTGAAATTTGAGTTCTATATATCAAGGGACACATAGAAGGTCACATAAAGACAAAACTCTAATTGAATGATTTATTTTCTCATCTAAGACCCATCAAATAGATAAATCTGAAACATCTTTGGACATAGACTGATTTTTGAACTTCAACGGGCACTTGGGTTCTTGGACAAGGAAGTAGAAAAAAACTGCTACTTGCTTAGGATCAAGATTACTCAAGAAGACTGGCAAGGGGGAGGGGTAGGAGGAGGGAAAGGAGGCATTGCCCCAAGTCCCTTGTTCACCTACTACTTCTGATTCTGTAGAGGCCTCCTGCGTATGTTCAGTAGTGCTTGCACACTGACAGTACTGGTAGATTCTGTGTTTCGATCTCAAAGGCTTTGGCCCTTTCATTCTCTGTCAGTGCGTTTCTACCCCACATGAAGGCTGGGTACGACTTGCCTCTATCATCAACCTCTTCAGGGACTAGTTAAGCTCAGTCATTCCTGGTGGCCCCTGGGAAAACTGCAAGAACAGAAGCATTGGCAAGCATTCCTGTGTGTGTGTTGGTAGTACAGCCCAAATCTTGCAAGGACCTTCTAATTGTAGTCCTTCTCCCACATAAACCCTGTGTTGGGGGCGGGGTGGGTGGGGAGGGGATGGAACCCTGTGGCAATAACCAAGATGCTAAATTGCTTAGCTGGTTTTAACTGAAGTGTGAGAAGGAGGTTTTAAGGCAGGTAGACAACATCCTGTTGTTCCGGTGCTCCTTTCTCTTTTTTGCACATCTGGCTAAACCGGGAGTCAGGTTCACTGACTCCTGCCTGGTAGCAGCAGCAGCAGCAGCAGCAGCAGCAGCAGCAGCCACATCTTTCTCCTGGTCCACACCTTGGCCTGCCCAAGAGTCTATCAGGCCATGGATGCAATGCCTGTGTATCATGGCAAAATCAGCCGGGAGACAGGGGAGAAGCTACTGCTTGCCACTGGTCTGGATGGCAGCTATTTGCTGAGGGACAGTGAGAGTGTCCCAGGCGTGTACTGCCTGTGTGTGCTGTGAGTACATTGTTACAGGGCCGGGGGCTTGCAGAGGGTGGGCACAGGCAGTGGGCATGGGTGGTGGGGGCAGGCAATGCACAGGTGGCAGGAGCTGGTCCCAGCCTCCACCACCCACCCTGGGCTTGCTTCCTGGGCCTCTGGATCACCAGAAAGGCCTCCCCAGGACCTTTTGGAGCACCTGTAGAGAAAACCTTTTTGAGCGGGGAAACACAACATAGAATTTACCTTTGGTCAGAGCAAGACCCAGGATCCAGACTTCAATTTTGACCTCTGGTAGAGGCCAGTGAGGTAGAGCCCTGGGACGGTGGAATGGCCAGATTTGGGGCCAGCAGCTCCTGAAAAGAGGAAAGACTTCTTTCCAACTCTCTTTAAATGAATTTGGAGGTGTCATCCCAAAGTAAGACCATTAAATTCAGGGAGAGAAAGCAGGCTAAGAAACTAAATTTATTACTTGAAGAATGCAATACCAGTTAGGTAGGACGCTGAGAGGGGAGATGTTTGTGAGTAAAACTGCCTCTCTAAAACTGCTTACTTAGCTTCCTTTAGAAGAGCTATGTGGGGGGCAGGATTTCTTCTTGATAAAAGTGAGGACAGACAATAGTTGTGAAGGACACAGAGGGAAAACACCCTTGTTATGAATCAGCTGTGCTCTTCACTTAGGCATGTCTTTGTCTAACGCCCCATTTTGAATTAGACGCAACTTCATATTTGCTTCAGGGCTCCAGAGTCACGTAGGTCTGAGACCTAATCCTGTGCTAGTCCAATGCTAGGTTTGTGACTTCAGCAAGTTAACCTTTCAGTTCTTCGGTTTTCTTATCCACAAAATAGGTATAATATTACTACCTACGTCATAGAATTGTGAGAATTAAATGATATAATACAGGTTAAAAATTTAGCACTGCACCTGAGACATAGTAAATATTTTGTGAATGTAACCTATTATTATTATTATTATTATTATTATTATTATATTATTTTTAAGCCAGTTTCTCTCAGCACTCATGGAACATGTCTAAGGAAGTATGTAGCTGAATTACTTTTTATTAGCAGAATAAAAACAACCATGAAAACACCAGCTCTGCACAGTAGGTTCTAGACGGAAAATAAATGAAGGAAAATGCTTGGTAGTATTTTCAGTACCGAACGATACACTGCAAGGTTTTAAAGTACCTCTGGGCCAGTGAAAAAAGATTATACTGATGCTGGTAATAGAGGATTGTCATTGTTTATTTATTTATTATTTTTTTAAATGGCTGAGCCATGTTTATGGCAACTCTCAGGCCATGCCAAATGCATTTATTGTAAAGGCTTCAAGTGAAATACACGGAAGCAATTCAAGCTCTTTGGCTCAGATCTTTATGTTTCGCTTATATTATTGTTTTCCCAAGTGGAAACTGGGGAAGGCCAATGAAAACCAAGTAGTATTCTTAGGTTGTGTTCTTATCAAAACAAGATTGAAGAGGGAGTGGACCAACAAAAGGGCTTCTTTAGCGAAGCTGACATAATGGGTCTCTTAACCTACAGGTTAAAAAAAAAAGCTTGGGCAGAAAAAGGGAGAGCAGGGGACAGTGTACCTTGCAAGATTTGCTTAAGGCTTCAACTGCACTGGCCTCTTTTGTTGTTTCTCCAGCTTGCCAAACATGCTCCCCACTTGGGGTCTTTGCACTTTTTGCTCCTTCTGCCTCTTTTTTTAAAATTTATTTTTTTTATTGATTATGCCATTACAGTTGTTCTATTCCCCCTTTCATTCCCCTCCACCCTACCCCCCTATCCCCACCATTACCCCCCCTTTGGTTTATGACCATGTGTCTCAAGTTCTTTAGATTCTATATTTCCCATACTATTCTTGCCCCCCATCTATTTTCTACCTACTGTCTATGCTACTTATTTTCTGTACCTTCTCCCCTCTTCTCCTCCTCCCACTCCCCTCCTTCTTCCTCTTGACTACCTGATCATTATAATATAAGTGCCCTCTCCCATCCCTGTTACACTGTATCTCTTTATCTTTCTTCAAGGAGCTTTAAACTATCTGACATTTGCTTGTTTACTTATTTACTGCTGGGCTCTCCTGGTAAAATGTAAACTCCATGAGGGTAGCGACATTGTCTCCTGCACCAGGAACACAGCTTGGAATGGAATGTAAAAGGCATTATGAGGCACTCAGTATATATTTTTGCATTAATGAATGAACTGTCAAAGCAAATACTGTTCTTTACTGCAAACAGCTATGGACTGATATGAGGAGGCCAGTGTGTGGAACACTGGGGAAGTCACTCAACTATTCTGGGTCTTGCTTTCGATATTTTTTAAAAAATATTTTTAAATTTATTTATCTTTAGAGGGGAAGGGAAGGAGAGAGGGAGAGAAATATCAATGTATGGTTGCCTCTCATGTGTCGCCTGCCAGGAACTGGCCTGCAACCGAGGCATGTGCCCTGACTGGGAATCAAACCGCGATACTCTGGTTCACAGGCCCGCTCTCAATCCACTGAGCTACGCCAGCCAGGGCTTGCTTTTAATATTTATAAAACAAAAATAATGATGTTTTCCTAGCCTTCTGCGTAAGATTGTTGTTTGTAAAAGATGCAAGAGACAAGGACAAATTTACCCTTTTGCCCATGTAGGCAAGGATCATGTAAGTAATTAATTTAGGCAGGTGGGAAATTCTCAAACATTTCAGTTTTCACCCAATGTGAAGCTTGCGTAAGTGCAGTTTTTATGACTCTTAGTTTTCCATGCAAACCTCCTTATGAAGTAGCAGAAAAGAGTAGGCAAATTGGGAGTTCCCCTCACGTCTTTTGATGGGCAGACTGGGGCCTCCAAGTCTTAGAGGGCAGCTGCCAGACTGAGCTGCCGAGGGAAGGCACAAGGATACATTACCTTTTATGACACTTTCTGAAATTTTTTGAGCCAAGGGTCCCTTTTGATCAATATAAAACTTTCATTTCCCCATTTTGGTACTATGCCATAGTAACAAAATGACATTTCACTTTGACATAAACCACGGACTCATCTTAAACTAAAACGTGTGTGCTTATGATGTGCAAAAGAAATAACAATGTAAATGAAGTCATATGCACATGAACAAGGAGGGATAGCTAACAAATGGTCAGTGACTGTGCAGTTTGCTCAGAATAGTTTCTCATTCTATCTTTTGTTTACTCCCATTGTCCAAGAAGTTTCAATTGATATTTAATTTCTGTATTTTTCCTTTTAATCGAATTTATTGGGGTGACATTGATTATATAGGTTTCGGGTGTACAATTCTATATCATCTGTGTATTGTATTATGTGCTCACTACCCCAAGTCAAGTCTCTGTCTATCACCAGTTATGCCCCCTGTACCCTCGCCCACTTCCTAGTCTATATTTTTTGTAGAAATAGCATCTTGTACGTGCTTTCAAACTGTAAACTATGTTTTAAAACTTTTCCCCCCAGTTCTAAACCCCTGGTCATGGCCAAAAGATATGTTCTTTTGTCTGTTCAGTTTTGGAAAATTGAATCTCAAAAAGTACTAAAGAAGTTTTCTATTTATAAGATTGCTCACCCATATTTAAAGTGAAAAGTTGTTTTTCTAACTATTTTCAATAAATAAATTCTAGATTTTTGTATAGTAAGTCTATTAAAAATCCTTCCTAATATCTAATCATATTACAGAAAATTTGAAACATGTAGATAATGGGAATGAGGGAAAACCATCTGTAGTTTTAAAACCTAAAGACAATTATTATTGAAAATGAAGCGTCTTTTCTTCTATATCTTAATTTAAAGTTGCTTTGTAAACACATATTGCTCTTACAATATTGTATTATGATGAGTTTTCCACTTTGCATGAAAAACTCCATTTATATATAATGTTATTATGAATTATTTTCAAATATTATTTTTAGTGGTTGCATGATAGTCTAGCCAGTGCATGTACTATATTTTCCTTAACCAGTCATCTATTTTAGACATTCAAGTAATTCCATTTTTTCAATTATAAATTCTATTATGATTCATATTTCAGTCCATAAAGGTTTCCTCGTAATTGCAATTACTTCTTTATAATACGTTTTAAAGATGTGCAATTTCTAAGTCAGAAAACATGACTAGCTTAGGATTCTTGATGTATACCTGATCACCAAATATTTTTTCCTAAATGATTCTTCCAATTCATATATATGCTCACCATTAATGCACAGGAGTGTCCATTTCATCACACCCTTCCTGCATTTGTGAATTCCTTAAAAAATTTCTCTTTGAAATTTGGTATCTCACTATTTCAAATTTCTTTGGTTAGTGATAGAGTGTCTTTTACATGCTTGGTAAGCTGTTGTGGTCTTTTGTTCATGAATTGGCTCTTTGTGTACTTTGCCCATTGAGCCATTTGTATATTAGTATTTTTCTTAACACATTATGGGTGTTTATACATTAATCTTTGGTCTGTTGAAAGTATCTTTTCTTAGTTTGGTGTTTGCCATTAGGTTTCTTTGACAGACAAAAAAATATTAACATTTGTAGTGGTCAAATCTGTCACCCCTTTCCTTTGTGTTTGATTTCTTTGTTTGCTTCCCAGTCTAGAAAGTTCTTTGTCCTCCAGAGATGTCATAAAACTTTACTTCAGTTTTTGTTTTAAATTTATGGTTTGATTAGTTTATATTTAACTCTTTAATTCCATTTAGAATTTTATTTTAGTGTGGAGAAAAGATCGAATTTGATTTTGTTTGGAAATAGCTAACAATTGTCCCAATATAATTTATAAATAGACCTTCAATTCTCCATTGATTTATTGGCCTCCTTTACCATATATTACTTTCTTACATGTAACAGTTATTGTTTTGCAGCAATCTGTGGCTCAATTGATCTATTTATTCTTGTATTACCAGCATTATAGTATTGAGGGGACAGAAAAATACTTTTTTTTTTACCATTGTAAATTCTTCTGCTCAGACTAATAATCAATCAACATGAGACTGATTAACAGGATAAAATGACCAAATTTATGATGCATATGTA